GTGTGTGTGTGTGTGTGTGTGTGTGTGTGTGTGTGTGTGTGTGTGTGTGATTCATCTACATCTAGAGTGTAATCTAGTGTGTGGTTGTTTACGGCGCTGTGTGAGAGATGGTGGTCTGGAAGGCGAAGGTGACGTGGTTTCGTGCGTGATCAAGGTAAGAGTCTGAGAAGGTGTGCGCGTCACCAGAGAAATGTCTCCACTGCATCAGCTCGGACATGCTGAGATGCTTCTGCTGAGCCCCTCTGCGGTCACCCTGACGGCCGAGCTGGCACGGCCTATCAGAAACCTGCTCCTCTTCCTCCAAGTCAGCTGAGGACGGAGGAGGACAAAAAAGCGAGTTGAAATACTCAAATAGTCAAATCCTGGTGTCAGTGTGTGAAGTGCGTCGCCCATGTGCTTACGCTGGACTGAGCCGTCCATGCTACAGCTGCAGTTCAGCAGGTCGTGTGTTAGAGAGAGCGTGTCAGTCAGGCTGAAGAGATCTCGCAGCTCACTGGTGGAGAAGCTGGTGTGCTCCGCCCTTTTGCCCAGGTCAACCACCGTCCCAGAGAGCCCTTGTTTGGACACCTGTCTCTGGAAGATTCGCTCCTCAATGGTGCCTGTGAGGAAGTAACGCACACCCAGACGGAAAGAGTCACATCAGACCGGTTCAGGATTTGTTCGATATATTCTCGCTCATTGTGTGTGTTTTGTGTTTTCAGACCTGCAGTGAGGAGACGGTAGATGTGCACCGTCTTCTTCTGTCCATCTCTCCACACTCGAGCCATGGCCTGCACAGAGCACCGAGGGGGAAGGTTGCAGGAGAGAATTACTCAAATGTGCACAGCGCCATCTGGTGGTCATGTCTGTATACAAGTGTGATGAAATCCGAGGGTGATTTTACACCTGTGGGTCAGTTCATTTGGTTCATTTGTCTGGGAGTCTCACCTGAATGTCATTAGCAGGGTTCCAGTCAATATCATACAGCACCAGGTGGGAGGCACCCACCAGATTAAGCCCCACGCCACCCGCTTTGGAGCTCAGCAGAAACAGGAAGTTCTGAGAGTAGGGACTGTTAAAACCATCAACCAGCCGCTGCCTCTGGTTGGTGGGGGTGTGTCCATCCAGTCGGCAGAAGGTGTAGCCCACTTGTACACAAAAGTCCTGGAGCAGGTCAAGCGTCTGAGTATAGTTGGACACTACAACCACCCTGCGGGGGCAACACATGCTTTGTCAGTATATATGCACAAAAATACACGTGCCAATGCACACGCACGCGCACACGCACACACACACACACACACACACACACACACACACACACACACACACACACACACACACACACCTGTCTGAAGGGCTGAGTTGTCTGATGGCAGTCAGCAAATCCGTCAGAACCAGAAGCTTTCCAGAGTCAGCAGTGTTAAACCCACTAGAAGAGTAGGATTCTGGGAAGAGCTCAACCAAGCCCTCGTATAGAGAGTTCTCCACTGAACCACTGTCTGCTTTTTTCTGCAAAACATAACACAGTGCTCAGTTAGGACTGGTAGTAAATCTCTAAACACCAACATAAATGCAGACTACCTTGACCACAGCATGAATGCTCAGTCTGAGTTCAATAAACAACAACACAAGGCACTCAAATAAGATCATTATCTAAAGGCTGGATGCAGGTTTCACTCCCCTAAAGATCTTAACCTTGGCAGAGGAGTAGAGCAGACCAGGGTGGTTACAGAGCTTCTTCAGGGCAGTGATGCAGGCCAGGTGTGTGTGAGCTTGCGTGGAGGCCTGAAGGCAGGCTCTGAAGACTCGGTGGCAGAGCAGATGCGCGTACAGCTCTCGCTGCAGAGGGGACGCCTCACAGAACAACGTCCAGTCGAGACGAGGAGGCAGGTAGCGGTTGATGATCTCCTGTGTCCGTCTCAGGATGAACATGCCGGTCAGGCGAGAGAGCTCTGCCGCCCGCTCTTCTCCCAAAACGCTCTCCTCCTGTTGGCAGAGACAGATTCGAAACCAGGTTTAATGCCAGATGAAGTTGTCGATGTACAAGTTACTACATAGTAAAGAAGCAGGAGAGGTAGCATTACCTCTGAGCAGGAGGGCTGTCTGGAGCGTAGGATTGGCTCCTCGTATACTTTTCTGTACGCAGTGGACGAGCCGAGAATCCCCGGGTTCACAAACTCTATGATAGCATAGAACTCCTGCAGGTCATTCTGTACCGGGGTGCCTTCAAAACACAAAGACAGTTCAGTATGAAACCTGTACAAGACGTTACTGTCGGTCAGAGAGTCCTTAAAGACTTCCCATCTCTTTCTATCAGACGCTTTGCATCTCGGTATTTCAGAATGAGCACCTGTGAGTATGACTCTGCGATTACAGCTCAGGCTGCTGAGGGCCGAGGACGTTTTGATGCTGCTGTTCTTCAATCTGTGGCCCTCATCACAAATCACAAGACCAAACTCCACTTTCTTAACCTGAAAAGAATCAGAAAATGCAATGAGATGACATATGGGGATTGTTTTTCTAACATGCACACTTGACAGCGAGACAGAAGGTGAGAATACCTGCTCCAGGCAGCGCAGCAGCATTTCATAGCTGATCACAAGAACGCTGTGCAGAGGGGAGACCAGGAAGTGCTCTATCCTGTGGTCCTACACCCATGTCAACAAAGAATGTCCATTAATGACTTAATACATTAACATTAATTATGCTGCTTTAGCAGAATTCCCCCTCCTCTCCACACCTGATCCACACTGAAGACGCTGATCCTCTCGCGGCCCAGCCACTTGTTAAACTCTGCAGCCCAGTTGTGCACGAGGCTGCCAGGTGTGACCACGAGGACACGCTTAGTAACTGTTCTCCCACCGTACGGCCCTTGTTTAAGCAGCGTCCAGGACAGTGCCACGCTCTGGAGGGTCTTCCCCAGACCCATCTCGTCAGCCAGGATAGCCCCATAGCGACCCACAGCTCTGAAGCGCACACAGTGAAACACATCGATATGAGTCAGTAGGAATCCTAACAATGGCTGTGATGGCTTTAAAGAGCATGTGACAAGATTACCATTACCTCAAGCCCATGACACACTCGTAGAGAAAGAGAAGGCCATCTCTCTGGTGCGGTCGCAGATGATTAGTCAGGAACGGGTCAACAACAACATCGACCACAGGAAGCCCAGACTTGTTGTTGGACCACTGGTGATTGGCAGAGGGACGAGGCATCACCAGTGCACCTGTAACAGATCCAGAGAGCCTGAGTGGAGTGTGCACATAACTAAAAACAAACCAAAAGATGCCAAAAAGGGTCAGAAATATGACAATTTGTGATATTAGTCTACATACCCGGAGCCAGTGGGTCATGGCGAGGTCTGCAGGTCTGTTCCTCCTCCGGTTTGGATCCAGGAGGATCAGTTCTCCTCGAAAGCATTGGGGAGCAGAAACGTTTGGACACCAAGCTACGAGAGGGAGGCGGAGCCGACGCTGTGTGCGGCTCCTCTTTCTCTACCTGGACCTCTTGGAAGCAACGGCCCCGGGCGAAGTCCTCAGCAGATATGAGCCCCATCACCTCCACCTCCTTCCCTCCGATCATCAAGGTCTCTCCCTCGGACAGGGAGGCCAGCTCGGACACCTTGTAGCCACTTCCTAAACAAAACATGCACAAGCATTACCGATGAACTCACAATGAGGATGTATATCGTGTTCACAGCCTTAATACTTTGATACATCTTCTGAAATTAAATTCTGGTGTCTCCGTCTCACCCTTTCCAATGTCCTTGCCCTCCATATCCTTCAGTGTGGCTGTGCGTCCTCTTGTAACCAGGACCGCGTCGCCCTCCCAGCGCTTGTGTTTCTTCTTGCTGGCTTTACACCACATCACACTGAAGTAACGCACTCCGTCCTGGCTGCGGCCCGAGTCTGAGCCTGCAGTCAACGGAGGGTATCCATCCACTCCTGCAACACAAAAACATACAACATAGTGAAAAACCACCAAAGATATCAAATACGTACCTCACCAGCAGTGTCAGTGCTGCACCGAGCCGACACAAATACCAGGAACTTAAGAAAAAAGAAAATCCATCTTCCTCAGCTGAGTTCATGAGTGGATGCCTGTTTCACATCTAATACACAAAAAACAGCAAATTTAATTATTGTTTTAATAGAAAAAAAGTTAACATACGGACAAAGTGTAAAAGAAACATACACACGTATACGAACGTTGAAATACAATCAATGTTGTAGTCACATACATTAAATAACAATAACATCGCAAAAACAAAGTCCACATCTGCCAGCAACCAGAGTGAATATCAGACTTTAACACTTTTACACTTCATGTAAATTCAATAACAGGATTTGTAATCATGAGCATCTTGTGATTAAGGCCTTCGACAGTTTGACTTGTGCTTCAACCCCGGGTATCGGAATATCTCTCAGTTCTACACAATAAGAGTGGAACTGTTCGATTGGAGCGCTTCTTCTACATGTCCCACCTACAGTACTTTGATTAAGTGCCCTAGTTTGTTTACCTATGAATACGAAGAAGAAATGCTTTTTTTAGTTTATCACATCGGATTTTTACTGAATTTAAATTTATTTTTTTACAAAGAATTAAAAGAGCACAAATAATCCCCCTGATGGGATCTGGGCAGACTCTCACACTCCAGTATATCATTACAGTAAATGCTGGAAGATCATCCACACTATAATAAAATTCCCATAGATGCATATTGGTCGTACATCTAAGCAGGAGAAGCACCATCGTGGTACAAGCCACTCATCACTACAGACATTCCCCTCCAAATAGCTGGACGTTCACATTTACTTAATCTACTTTGGCCAGTCACAGTGTTTGTAATGAGAGCATTTACACGGTCAGTTCTGTCAATAAGAGTAACAACGATACATTTATAACACGGACAGGTATAAACACAGACTGATGGCAACACAAGCGCGCCTTATCCTGCTATATGCAAATAGGCTTTCAGTGTCTGTACGAGGCACTATGTTTCCAAAAGAAATTCAAGTTCTCAAACATGAAACTGATGTGTGATCAGCTTCTCCTCCACACTTTAATGTCCTCAGAGCCTCTCCCCGTCTGACGCTGGACACAGATGTGCGCGTTCGTGCTCTTTATAGAGGAATTGGCAGTCCGTTTCTCAGGCGAGCAGCCTTTAGTTTCTCCACTTTGATCTTGGCTCTCAGCAGTTCCTCCTCCAGGTCCTGTTTCCTCTTCAGCCCCTCCCTCTTCTCCTCCAGGTATATGGCAACCTTCCTGTGATTGGCCACCACCATCTCGTGCTCCTCTTTGGCAAGGTGCAGAGGGCGAAACCTGTCGGGCTCGTGGTGAGGGTAGATGTCGTTGGGGTAGAGGTCGTGGCCTAACGGCAGCGGCGAGGCGGAGAGGGCGATGTTTACGGAGGAGGGGACGGGAGACAGCGATGCTTCAAAATCCTGAATGCTGCCCAAGTCCTCCTGGTCCTCCTCCTCCTCCTCCTCCTCCCGCTCCTGGACACCGTCCAGCCCTGGTTCTGTGTGTGCGGAGAGGATGGGGAGGTTTGGCGGTGGTTTAACATCCTCTTCAGGGTCCAGCTGTACCACCTCATGGGGGATACTTGGGACAGCTGCTGAGTAATCCTGGAGTCCAGCCAGAGAGGAGCTGCTGCCAGGATGTTCGACGGGAGAGTTGTGCTTGCTGTATATTAATCTAAAAATGGAATAAAGGGTAAAAATAAGTGAGACTGGAGCGCTTAAACAATGTTTATTCTGTCTGTTTTGTGTTCTGTTGGTGAGAACACACACTAAAGTAATCAATCAAAAGGACCGGTGACCAAGAGTAGACGAGAGGAAATTAAATGATTCACCGAAGTAAAAATAAAAAAACTATGCTGGTTACAGCCTCACAGATAATATTATTTCCTTGCCGATTTATAGAATTATGAATAGTTAAAATATTTGGGAAAGGGATTCTTAGGTATTTATATTTCTTACACTAAAATGACAAACAATTTTAAGGCTTTGTTGTCTTCTATGTACTCTCCCGAACTAATGACTATAATCTGCCTTGGCCTCATTTTCCTTAATTTCTTTAGCACTAAAAACATGAACCAGGTTCTAAAAATTACTTTGGGGTCCAATTGTTGATCTGTATTACACTATGATTCACCCAAAACTACCTGAGCAAACTACTGAAGAGTAGTTTGTCGCCTGTAAAAAAACAAACAGAAGGACAAACTGTATTTTCCTTTTTGGCCTGACGATATGTGTAATCTAATCGGGCTTTGAAGCCTTGAGTTCAGCCCCTCCCTCCTCCTCCTCCTCCTCCTCCTCCTCTTCTAACTGTTGAATCAGTATTGTGACTACATACTGTTAATGATGTATGTGCTCGTTAAACTCTCCCCTAACTGTCGCGTTATCCCTTCTGTGCGTCTATGCTCGTAGGTGCATGTCACACTGTACCTGCGAAGTGCCTGGTCCTTTTCATGGATGGGCACGTGGTGAAACAGGTGAGGGATCATCTCCATGATTCTCCTGGTTGGCTCAGAGATGCTCGCTCTGTACTCTGGCTGGGCGTGTCTCCGCTGCATCACTTCCTGCTTGGCCGACTCCTTCAGCCTCTTGTAGAGGGTCCTGAGGCCCTGAGCGGTGCGATGGGGTCGGTCCCCTCCCAAGCCGTTGTATTGCTCAGCCACGGTGTCCCAGCACTTGTTCTTGTCCACGATGACTGCGTGCTTGTTGGTGTGCTCCTCCAGGATGCGGATGTGAGGACGGACCAGCTTCAACAGGTCCAGCTTCTCAGAGAGGGTGAAGTTGGAGGAGCGAGCTTTACCCACCATACTAGACAGGAACACAGAGCTGGATGCCATCTTATAGCATAGCCGACTCACACAGATCGAGTCAGGCCTATGGCTGTTCAGCAGCCACACTCAATACTAAGGCTCCTCACTCTTCCCACCTGTCTTCTTTTTGTCCCTGCTGCTGGCTTCTCTTGGTCCACGGTGATGAAGCCAACACCGGTCTTACTCCCATACATTTCCCATGTTCCTTCTATTCTTCTTATAAATCAAACATAAACTATGTCTAACATGTGCATGGATTCATACACCACTCCTTGGTTCTCCCTCAGCCACGTTGCACAACAAAAACAGGCTGTGCTGCACACAATAAGAATCAGGCTTAACTAGGCCAGCCTCGTTTAGGCCCCCGCCTACCGCGGAGGGCTTTGGATGAATTCCTCCCAGCTTAGGCTGACGTAGCTAAGCCGCTTAAGCCCAGCCCGACCTACTTACAGCTCGGTCTCTCTAAACCCCAAACCAAGCACAGCACAGAGCCACACACTGCCTCTATATCATAACACATAGACGGCAGCAGCGGCACTGTGCTCTACACAAACGGGGAAAACAGTTTTTAAACAATGTGTAACAGGTTATTAGGGTCAGGGGTCTATTTTCCTGGAGTGAAGTGACGTTTTGATATAGCGCTGGCTTAACTAACCGAGTGGGGGGAGGGGTTTGTGAGCGCGCTGCGCGTGCCCGCGAAGGCAGAGGCAGTTTATACCTTTTGTGCAGAAAATAAACCAGACATGCGGGTCCACGCGACGAAACGCGTGTTCGGGGCGCGTGTGGAAACCGAACCATGCAAACGCAGAGTGAGCCGCGTGTGTTTCGGTTGTAAAACAGCGGCACTAGTTGCTCTCGAGAAGAGGAGCGCGAGCGGTGGCACACTGATCCTGAGCACAGTCCTAATGTGCCGCGGCACTACCTCGCTCATTTGCATAATGCTGGACCTGCTGTCACTCAGCCTCAGCCCGCCTGGTTTAACGTCCATCGCCGGTGTGTCGTATTATTAGCCACATAGACTGGACAGTCGGCTGCTGCAGAGCAAGAGAGCGCGCAATTATTAAGGCGGCGTCACGCGGTTTATTATGGTTTAAATAAATAAATAAAAAAAGAGACACGAGGGACATTAAACTGAAGCACAACTGCTGAATTATGAAATTGCTTGATCATAATTGTGTTGTCAAATCAAGTACAAAGCATGGATTCTGTATTGTTGTTATAAATGTAGGTGATGTGTTAACAATGGATTTCTGAATGAAAACAAACGGAGTGAACTCGTGGGCAGGGGTTTTGTGTTTAAGCTTTCAGTAAAAAAAAAAAAAGGCGTCTGAACCAAAAACCAAGAAGTCTAGCTGCATGTGCACATTTTTTACATTGTTGTCCATCAGTGGACTGATTAAACTAGTGCACATGCAGACAATTTGTGAAGCCAACTGTCATATCTCTGAATCTGTTACTCAACATGGAGTGCAGTGATTTGCAGCCTTCCAGACAGACTGTTTATAAAGTCTTTATTATAGCGGACTATGTCCGATAACGCGTGTAATAATGAAGTAGGTACTACAAGGTGCATTTAAGTACATCAAGTACTATATTGGGGTCCTGATCAATAGGTCTAAATCAAAGTTATTACTATATCCTCGACCAACTGCATCATGAATTTAATATATCAGCAAAAAACTGAGCAAACATGCATTATAAGCATCATGTCAACACTGCTAGAACTATTATAATATGACTTTTTTTAATAGACTGAAGACTTATAAATATCATAGAGAAAAGAGTGTGAGTCAAATGTTTTAATTAACTTGTGTTATATTATATATATTGGGGTATATTTTGAGCATTTTAAGTACACATTAATTTTGAACAACCTAAAAGCAGTAATAAAACATGTATGAATAAATATATACACCGAAATAGAAGATATGAACAAACTTTTGTTTGGTCCCAACATCACGAAATCAAAACTAATGTTTTTTGTATCCTGTAACTGAATCAAAGTGGTTTTGTTGCACAATCTCCACATAACTATTCTTGCCGATACCAGGTACCGTCCCAGATAAACACGTTTGCGTCTTACCTGCAGGTCTGTTGTCTTCCGTGTGCTCTTCTGAGCCGTTGTCGGGATGTTCTGACTCGGCCTCATTTTCCTTACTCTCCGCTGCACTGAGAACACGAGCCAGAGCCCTCGACAAGGCTGGAGCAGGCTGGGTAGCTTTGGGCTGAACATCACACACTGTTTTACTCTGAGCTGGTGCTGCTAGACTCCTCTGGACCTGCAAGATGAGAAGAAGAGAAAAGACGAGTCACAACCTGAGGAGGTTTGAAACAACGCTGGATAACGAACAACGACGAAGGGAACCAAAAGAGTACCGAGGGACCCTAGTGTAGGTACACCAACACCTGTGTTGGTGTACCTACACTAGGGTCCCTCGGTACTCTAACTGAAAACACCTGTGTGGGTGTTCAGAGCCTTAAATGTTGTGAATAATTTAACTTTTCCAGGGCATTGCCTAAACCAAGTTTAGGGGTAAGGGGCTTGGATTCAGCCACGAGACAGGAAGTAGATGCTCCAGGGGGCACAAAGCGGGGCTTCTTCACAGCATTACCCAAGAGCTGGCTCGGAGCTCCTGAGCGGCGCATTTTGCAACTGGCAACCCTCAATGATCTATATCCTGAAGACAGAAATACATTAATAAACACAATCATTAATACTGGAAACTTTCATAGCAAATGTGTGAGTGAGATGAGTTTCACTGTCTTCATGGTTCATCCCCACATAACTCAAAGTCTTCTTTAGTAGTTCAGTGTTGTCCACAACAGGAAGGTTCACTCACAACCACTACTAGTGTATACATTTAGACCAGCTTAGGCACCAGACAATACAGACCGTATTATACTTAATACTATTTCATGAAAAACTAATTGATTAAAGCTTTGATAGACGATAAATAAATCATATTTCATGATAATATACAATAAATGTCTTAGCTGCATCCTCCCGAACACAGCCTCCCCACATTCATGAAGTGACTTTGTTAGGTAAGGTTATATGAAGACACCATGTGATGGACACATAACGTTAAGTGAACATGTTATCAACATATTCAGTACATGTTTTGTCGCTGTTAAGACAAGGAAATGACAGTTACACGTTAATCTCTAGCGGTTAGCTACATTAACTTGTTGCATCAGTGTTTCATGTTAGCACGCTAGCTAACTCGCTAGCGTCAACACACCGCTGACACGGTGGTGTAACGTTACATGTCATGTTTGATAACGTGTCATACATACCTGGGTGAACTAAAAGCTTGATAAGAACATTTAAGGTCACAACATGTCACTGAAATCTGCCCAAAAAAAATAATTCGTGTTGTATTTTGTTCCTTTAACTCTCGATTTTGTTCGGGTTCTCCCGCTGAATGATTTGAAGAACGTGATTGGTTGAAACCCGGCAGTGGGCGTGGTCAGAACGAGTAGGGTGCACTTGATTTTAACACCATAGTAGTTTCCCTTTCACATCCCCACTGAACTCCCGCACCCCGTCAATCTCTGAGCTGTTAATCGAGCACACCTAGTACCCTACTGTGGTGACCTCACTTTACTACTTTAATAATATGAGAAGGACAATAAAATCGTGAAACATTTAGACGTTGGTGAGGTTTTACATATGATTATTAGATGTGATACTTTTGATCATATTAATTTATATATATATAATAATTTTTTTTCAATGAACAGTGTTGGTGAAAGTACACTTACTCAATTGCATGTGCTTAAGTACAGAGTAAACACATGTGTTAATAATAATTATGGAGAGATTCTGTTGATTGTGTGAGCCAGCATGCACTATACCAGAGCCCTGGGCCAACTATAAGGAACAGGGCCATAATTAATATTATTAATTACACCTGCGTTTACTCTGCAACGACATGTAAAAATGGGTGCTGTGAAAAAAACCTTATTATGAGAAACTTATACTTTATTTAAGTATTTGAATGTATGCTTACACATTTTCTCCATTACATTTATTTGATATATATCAAAAAATAACGAGCATTCAAAACAGTATTAAACAATGTATTTTATCAGTTTTACACTATGGTGCAAGATACTTTAACTTTTGATACACAAAATATATATATTTTTAAAGTACCTCTCTCACACACTCATATACACACACAGACACACACAAGGACACACGTGCTCTTTTATTTATTTACTGCTGTCGCGTCTGAATACTTCTTTCACAACTGAGTTCATTGAAGTTCATAGAAAATAACAGGACTGGGATGAGTCCAGTTGTTTAGATTGCTCTTTGATTTCTGTGGTCTGACAGTATAGTGTCATCTGACATTCTGTAATCCAATCAGGGAGAGAGAGAGAGTGTAATCCATGTTAATCCCACATCCAGAGAGCGAGAGAGAAACCTAGGATAGGATGGGTCATTAACAGAGACAGAAACAGTTGAAGGACAGCGGTAATCTCTGAAGGCACCACAATCTTTAGCTTTATCGCTGAGGCAGTGAGGAAAACACACTACTACAGAATGCATCTATTTTTTTGGGGTGTGTCTCGGGGTTCTCCTGTAATTCTGTCTCTTTGATCTGATCTTGTCTGACAGCTGCCTGCATGTGAACCTGAACCGCGGTTGTCTGGGATACCTCTCCATGGAGACGCACTCCCAAGGGTAGGGGAGGGCTTTCAAGGAAAGGAGACCCTCACCTTGATGGGGCAACAAGTCAAGAGAGAGCATGAGGAAGGAAAGACCACAGTAGTAGTTCAGAGGTAAGATGGAAGGTCACCTGTGGAGGAACAAGTGAAGTGGACATCAACAGAAAGGAAGAAGAAGAAACAGGTGGATGAAGTTATTTTGTCAGGTAGGAGGGAGCATTATTGTTAAAGACAACAATACAAAAAAGAAGAAACAAATGAGACAACACTATGTGGTTCTCATGTTTGTATAATCTGACTGTGTGGTTGTAGGATGGGCTATGATCTGGAGCGGTTTGTGGGCTATGTGAATGAGGGTCTTCTGTGCTGTGTGTGTCGAGACGTGTTGCAGCGGCCCCTCCAGGCACCCTGCGAACATGCCTACTGCAGCGCCTGCATCAGCAGCTGGCTGGTCCATCACCACTCCTGTCCTGAGGACAGACTTCCACTGGACGTGGGCAGTCTCAAACCACTGTACAGGTCTGTCTCTGCATGTGTCTTTTATGATCTCTTCATTTATTCTAAAGTTTTCACAACTATCCAGTAGGGTCACACATGTCTACTGCTCTCTGTGCCCAACCCTCATGTCTCTGATGCTGTTTTTTAAATGACAGGTACATGCGTAATGACCTGAACCGCCTGCAGATACTTTGTGTGAATGCGGGGCAGGGTTGTGAGGTGGTCTGCTCCCTGGAGAGCCTGCACACACACGAGGATGAGTGTGAGTTTGCCTTCATCTCCTGCTCTAACACAGGTATGAAACAGAGCTCACGTGATGTGTCATTTGTCATGTTTATCAGTAGTGTTTGTACGGTAATTAAATGGTTATCATTGTGGATGTGTGGTATATAAAGGTAACGTGACACCTGTGGGTGCAACAGGTGGCTCATAGTGCACCTATGGGACTTATTCAGCTCCCACAGACCTCACAAAGAGTGCATTCAGGGTCAACTTTCCATCACTCTTTAATGAGCAATTTAAACATGTGTATGTATATACAAGCGTGTGCTCTTGTGCTCACAATGTGTCTGTGACCTGTCATTGGCAGGTGGAGAGTACGTATGTTACCATTGTGGTAGGTATAGTTACAGGGTGTGTGCATGCAGTGTGGCTTTTTGCAGTGTTAAGTACTACAGGCACATCAGCAACATAGTTTTACACAACATTTAATATGTCTATGACTGCTGTGATCTGTGAGAAGTTTTTGAACTTGATTTAAAGATGAGAGTGCAGTATACAATTTGGGATGGTCTAAATGTTCAGGGACGGGAAAAATGTGTGTATAAGTAACTTAGTGACTGCACTTCTACTTGAGAAATGTTACCGTTTCAACTCATGTGTGTACTACTGTGGCTTTGTTATTTAAAGCTATTTCTGCAAACCAAATTTACTTTAGTAAAATGTTTCTTTTGAGAGATAGATACACTTACATATCGAGTACAAGGTTGCTTCATGTGAGGCCTACCCTTCTGTGTCCCGTTAGGTTGTTCTCTGCAGGTGGAGAGGCGGGGTTTGGTGGCTCACCTGTCCGAATGTAACTTCCGCAGCAGGGAGTGTCACAATGGCTGTGGCCACACCCTCCTCTCCATTGACCAATCACAGCATAACTGTGTAGCAGAGCTGCGCACAGAAGTGGAGATGCTCAGGTGTGTGGTTGTGAAAATGTCATCCCTCTCTTCAATCCTGATCAAAATGGATGATTGCTCTAGTTTACATTAGTTCGTAACTTTGTCTCACTGAATATTTACGGCAGGGCAGAGATGCTGTGCAAGGTGGAGGAGGTGAGACGAGAGATGGAGTCTCGGCTGGACTCTCAGAGGAGACACATGGTGCAGAAAGAGTCGCAGCTGAAGAATGACGTGGAGGAGCTCAAGGTGACCAGTCAGTCCTTCTCCTGTATTTAACACCTCCATTTTTAAAGTGACAACCACAGGGCTGAAGTAAAAGACACTTAGTAGTGAGTACAGTAATATATAAATACATCTTTTGTAATACATTTAAATAACACATATATGTGCTTTCTTTCTTGACTCCATCCATTGGCAAGGTACTTCTTTGCAGAACTTGATTTAGCATATAAAACATAAGATAACCTCATTATGTATGAGGACAAATAACTGTAGTTGTTAGCTTTAGTACGTAATGTAAAAAAAAATACATTAGAAACAAAAACGTTCATATCACAATCTTCATTGGCAGTTTTCTGGGAAATGTTACTGTTAAATAAATAAATAAATAAATTATATATATATATATATATATATATATATTTTACACATATATATATATTTTACACATACTTTTATAGACTTTAATCATTTAAAACATTAAAGTGGAATTATCTACACTGTCCGTCTCAAACTGTTTTCAGTCGTACTTATATTTTGGTCCATTTTTCTAAAGAGGAACTACTTTTAGGACCTAACATCAGTCAGACAGTTGCCGTGAACCGTGTTGATGCATGTTCAGTGATCCCGTGTCCTCTCCGTGCAGGGTCAGCTGTCCTGTGTGATGTGTGACATGCGAGCCTTGTTAGGAGCAGAGCGCCTGAGAAGACAGGAGCTGGCAGAGGCGGAGCTGGAGAAGAGGGAACTGTTGGAGCTCCTCAGAGACATGCAGCCAACCAGGAGTCTGCATCCGGTTGAGCAGACATCCAGGGACCAGCACCAGGGAGCTCTGCAAACATCTGGGCGGGAGCTGCACTCGGAGCAGACAAGACACAAGCAGAGGGAGGCGTCTTTACACGCCTCCAGTCTGTCACTGCATTCAGCTCAGGCTATAAATATATCTGGTCCACCTCCGTCACCTCAGCTGGGAGACGGGACGCGCAAGGGCGGGACCAGGAGCCTGACTCTGGACTGCATCAAGAGGAAGAGTCGGGAGGTGACGGTCATCTGAGTAGACTGGACCAGTGAGAGACTAGGATTAAATCTTTATTTTTGGATTGAGTTTTAGATTTATTTTTAATCAAATCAGTGTGTAAATTAGGTGTTGAATGAGAGAAAAACAGTCTGCTTTGGAATGAACCATATGTTTTGTTTGAAATGTCTTTTTGTGTAATTTTACAAACTAAGAGTCTTTTGACTGTCGGCTTATGTAAAAGTCATTAGACAATAATTCATTTTGTAGACTCACCACAGATCTGATCTGCACAAACAAATCATTGATAATGTCTTTTGGATTTTTTATTCCTCAGGTTTTAATTAAATAAAAGTTACTTTAAGTTTTCTTGATCAAATTATTTCTAGTTTATTTCTAGTTATCCATCTGATGCAGTATTTTCTGTTAGAAAAGGTTTGTTAAATGGTTCCTGAAAAAAACTTTGTTAAACAAGAACTTCTAAATGTATTTTAACTTGACCTAAAATGTTGGCAATCATTCTTCACTAACTATGTGTAATCTTTGATAAGTTTGTCAGTCTCATGTATGAAAAACAAAGCATACAAATCAAAATCTTGGACGCCAGCTAGCGTAGCTTTTGTTATACTGTATCGTACCGTTTGGCAGCACGAACAATATAACCTCTGACATTAGTGTGGGTACCAGGAAGTGTTGCAGTTGGCAAAGGCATGTATTTTGGGGCCCTTTCTGTCTCAGAAATACTACCTTTCTTACCACTTTCAGTCCTTAAACACAAGGAACTATTCCTGAAGATTGTTTTAAAATGGCCACCTCAGGCTGTACTGTAGTCTTTTCACACTAAATTCTTGTCATGCGCCCAAAGAACCTTCAGCGTGGTGTAATTTTGTCCTTTTAGTGATGTTCAGTGGAACATTTGTTCAAGTGTTGCTTTTTATTCTCTGAGGAAAGCTTGTTTGATGGATGATCGTAGTTACTGTCTGCATCAGTTCATCTGGTGTCTGCTTGAAATCAAAAGTGTAAGCTTAGTTACTATGACCTTTATTCTCCGAATACAACTCATGATAACAAAACATAAAACATCAACACAGAGTCTTTACGCCATTGCGACATCATCCACCATGTTTCCATGTAGACGGTTGTGTATATAATATCCTGATTGGTCCGTATGTTGCCGTGAGAGGCTGCAGTCATTGCCCAGGTGAGTTTACCTGGTGAAGGAGCGAACATGTCTGCCCCTCCCACCTCCACTCCCTCCCCCACCACTGAATTTGCTCCCCTGAGATCCTCTCCCCCCTCCTCCACCACCTCCACCACCTCCTCCTCCTCCAGCGCTGCCACCGCCTCCTCCCCCGCTGAGCCAAGACAGCCCGGCGCCTCCTCTTCCCCTCTGGGGTCTGTCCCGTGGGGCAAGCCGATATGCACCTGACAGACAGAGACGGAGGGAAAAACAGACAAAAAAAACACATAATTTTAAAGTTCATTGTTAGAAATTCAGATAAATCAACAAAAAGCGTGTGTTGGTCTGCACTTCATACTTGCTGGGGGTTGTCTGGAGGGCAACGGTCCACGTGTGAAGTTGCTCTGGCCTCCGCGGGGTTCACTGTAGGTTCCTCTGTGAGTGATAGCTGGAACTTGGCCACTCCACGAGGAACCACGGCCTCCGTCTCTGCGAGTGTAGTTACCTACAGCACCAAAATACAGCAATTAGCTCCCTCTGTCGGCCAATAGGTGGCTCTGAACTGCAGTGTGCCCAAATTCAATACTACTACTACAACTACACACTGTTTACACCATCTTAACTCAAGGTTCACTAACTAGCTTTTTTTCAGAGGTTTCATCTCATCTCATGCTGAGTTTGCTCAGTTATCGTTCGCACATAAATAGTGTAAAAAATACATTGTATACTAATGTTAGTGTACTATCTGGGCAAATATTATACAGCCAATGAATTGTAACATTTAGTAGTAACACAAAGATGAATGGCATGTTCTCTGCCACCAAAACTAAAGAGAACCAATTATTAGATCATTTTTAGTTTTTTGTGATATTATCCGTGCCGTCACATGTTTGAGTTGCACTAGTAATGGTATTCATCAACAACAGAGACAATCTGAGCATTATTTATACATATAATGTATTGACATAAGCTGAAACTACACTAACCTGGAGGACCATAAACACAGGTCTTATCAAGTGAACACAAGAAACCTGTGACTCAACAGGGTGGAGTGTCTGTGTGTACGTACCTGACAGCAGTACACCTTTAGGTTGTGGGGGAGTGAAAAAGCGAGTCTGGCTGTGGAAGGCGCCTCTGCCTCTGTTACCAGTGAACAGTCCTCTGGTGGGGGGTTTAGGGGAGCTCTTGGGGGGCCGTTTAGGAGGCAAAAGTCCAAGAGGCGTGGTAATGTCTTTAAACTCCGCCGCCACAAAGTCATCAACATGCATGCTGGGAGGACGGGAGGTGTTCTGTTTGCGCTGGCGGAAGATATCGTGGGGTCGGCAGAGATTCTGTCCAAAGCCTCCTCGACCTCCGCGGCCGCGAGGAGCAGCCATGATGTGGGCTCTCTTAGCAGGCTCAATGTAGTCGGATTTACCGCTGCAGAGATGAGCACGAGGTGAACATTCAGTCGGTTGATTAAAACAAGAATCAAGATGTTAGTTCTCTGCAATGAATACAGAACAAATGTAAAAAAAACACTGGAACTGCACCTTGTAATGAACGTCTCATGCTTGTGTTTGCCCAGTCGGAAGCTTTTTGGAGCCTTGCTGTCACCGGGAGAGGAGGGCTCAGACATGAAGGAGCGCTCCAGCTCTGCCTTCAGGTCCAGTTCTGGACAACACTCCTGAGCCAGACCCACCAGATCCACCTTCACCTGCAACACACACACACACAAAGTGGCAATTACAGACATACTGTCCATCCACAGGCAGACAGACACAGGCCTTCATAACTGTACATGGTCAAGAAAGACACTTATTATTCATTATTTGGATTTTGTAAGATTTACAATGCATTGAAGAGAAAATAAGAGAATTCAGCAAAAACAAATCTGAATTCTAGTTTTTGCCACAGTGTGATGAAAGAGCATGTAAACACGTACCATATCAATGTCTGCTTCAATGTCATCAGTCTGGAACGGGGAGAACCACAGAGTCTTCAGCTGCTCATCCAGAGCTTCTGACAGGAGGAACACCGTCCTACAGAGAACAACGTACAGAGGAATGATACGCCTTTGATCACATCCAGTTGTTTCTTCTCACTTTGAACAAAAGTGATGCACAAGTGCATCATCTGTGACAGGTTGGCTGGGATGGTGAGTGCCTCCCTGTGATTGATGACTTGACATATGTACCTGTGATTAAACTGGGCCGCGAGCGCCTCGGGTGCTGGCAGAGTGGGCTCAGAGTCGGCTACAGGAGGTGCGTCTGTGGCCGTCTCCAGCGTCTGCCTCAGAACAACCACGGTCTCTAACATCGTCTCCAATGAATCATCTTCCTTACATAGTTTCTACAGACACAAGAGTTACAGAGTTAGTTAAATACCAAGGCAGCATCAACACAGACTTTTCAAAAATGATACACAAAGTGTATGAATTGTACCGTAATCTGTTTCTCTAAAGTCGGGAGCGGATGGGATTCGGACATCTCCCACTGCAGCAGAGCTTTCATCTCAGAGCCCGTTAGCAGCCGTGGAGGAGCGAAGACAGACTCCTCGCCGGACCCCGGGGCCTCATCTACACACTGGATTACAAGAGAGAGATCCAACTATAAAATCCAACTATCACATACTACGTTCAACTCTGCAAGAGATGCAAAGTCCTGCACAATTAGTCGTTTAGACGCACCTCTAACGTGCCTACGAATTCAGACGTAATGGTTTTTTCATGATAACTGTAAGAAAATAGAAACCCTTTTTATTGTATTACACATACACGAAATTTGACTTCTGCATTTGACCCATCCCTGTATATAGGGAGCAGTGGGCTGCCAATGACAGGCTCCCGCCAGGGGTTCAGTGTCTTGCTCAGGGACACTACGACACCCGACACGTCCCAGTCGAGGATCGAACCAAAGTAAGCATGAAAACTTAAAAAAAAAACAGGTACTGACCATTGTTTCTGTGTTGAGGATCTGTCTCAGGAAGTCAAGAAGAGCCGACAGCAGATCTGCTGAGTCCTTGTTGAAGTTCAACACCAATCTCTTCAACATGGAGCATAGACCAGGACTATACTTCTTCAGACCTCTGAAACAAAGATGAAGTGACTCAGTCAAACTGGTGTTTGACTGAGAAGGGGACGCTATGCCAGGTAGAAAGAGAAGAGGTTGTAAAGAAAGACAGTGGTTATGCCAAGAAACAAGAAGTTGTCATTTACACTTTGAGGTGGTAGAGTCCATAATCGTGCTCGGTGAGGAATGTCAAAGTCCTGATACAGGTGAGGAGGAGTGGGACGCTGCTCTCTGAATTCCCCAAAACCTCCAACAAGGCGTTGCACACCAACGGCATCATCTCCCGCCCTGGAAGTGAATTGGCCAGCTGCTCAGCCTCTGACACACAGCTCTCACCGGGCGGAGAAACCACCAGAGAAATGTCCTGGTGAAGATGGAGATTCAGATTTTGCCTTTTTTTCCCTGTAAGGACTTGTTTACATTTGCACTTTACCTTCATGTACTGCTTACCTGGTCACACAGTGACAGTAATATTGTCCCCATTAGTTCGCTGCATTGCTGCTGCTGTAGGGAGTGGTCAGCTGGAGGAACCAACAGAGACAGCAGCAAGGGGAACACATCGGCCAGTTGTTCATCTCCAGACACGGACCCGGACAGAAGGTGAAGCGCTGCGCTCTTGCAAGCTTTCTGCGACACCAGCGCATCCATCAAAGAAAGCAGACGCAGGACCTGGCCCCAGCACACAGTTTTCCCCTCCGCCCTGCAGTGAACACATCGCATACACTTAAAATACAATTCAGAGCATAAACACAAACAACTGCTTGTGTGTGTGTGTGTGCGTTTGTCACTCACGGCTGCAGCTCCTCCAGCAGCAGCTCCAGCAGGGTCTTCTTGATGAGTAGTGCGGTGGGCGACGACAGATCCGCCAGCTGCACACACATTCTCCTCAGCATGGCCAGGAAAGGAGGGCAGCTGGTGGCGCACACGCACCTCAGCGCCTCGGAAAGCACTTTCCACTGCGCCCGTATGTGCATGCTCCACAGCTTCCTCGTGTTTAAGGCTACAGCCACATCTTGGACTGATATCACCTTCAGAGACAAAGATCAATTCATGTTTTATCATTTTCAATCCATCAGAATTAAGTGCGGGACAGATGGGCGACCAGTAGGATAGGATGAGTTACCTGAGT